CTGTCGTAAATGATGGTGCAGAGTCCCCATACACAGAATCCAACTCATCTTTGATTTGCGTAGGCGTATTGCCTTTCAAAAACAAATATTTAATGACAGCTCGATACTCGATTTTGTCCATTTTCACAAAAACACTCACATCAACTTACTCAAACGACTGTTACATAACAACTGCGAGTCCAAAATGGCTGAAACTTCGGTGAGTAACTGTCAACAGATGAACAACGAAATTCACTAGCTTTTATTTACAAGTGCTGCTATCTTCACGTTGAGGTCGGAAACTTTTCAGACCACCCTCGTATTAATATAGAGAAGATCACACAAAGTTTATATCTCACATAATAAATGGAGGGGTATACTCTTCTCTATAGTATAGATTGCTCATATGTTAATTGGGTGTACGAAATAATACATGAGAGAGACATAAAGAGAAAAAGAAAGAGAGAAAAAGAGAGGCAGAAACATTATATTATGTGTGATATTTACAAGCATTTTTTCAAAATTATACACGGTGAATAAATTTTTTTTTGCCTCTACTTTTATTGATCCATTAGAATTTCTGGTCACAATTTTTGTTTAATTGTAAGAACTGTTATGTGTTAGCTAATTTTTCCTATATTTAGTTAACAGTTGCTGCAACATAATTTATAAATATAATCTCTTTTATTCCAAGTGACCGTTTGGATTAAGTGAAATTAAGTGGGATTAGTTGTCACGCGTTGCGTGTATGCGTTGCGTGTACGCGAGTCCATCACGTAGCTATGACGTGACTACACATAGAAGCATAGAAGTATGCGCAATGATGTATTATATTACGTATATCACAACAATGAGTCTACATAAAATCCTACAACTCAAAGTTATTATTACAAAATTTGTGAAAATTATTATCTTCCTAGTTCAAACAAGCATTTATTATACTTGATTATAAGACATCACTAACTTTAGTATATAAGACAAAAACTTTAAAATAGAAATAAGTTACTTAAGTTCAAACCTTGCGTAAAGGACTTTATTCATTTTTTAAAAATCTTTTATTTCAGTATATAATGAATTTATCAATTTAATTAGATCAAATATTCAAATATTTTCGACAGAAGCTGTTGATAAACAAAACATTAGTTGTATAACATGTTTTTTAGAAAGACTAGCGGACCTAAATAAAAAATGTAGACAAATGAGAATAATGTTTGAAGGAACAGTAGCGAAAAGTATGTATGTAACTCTTTCTCAACATAATTCATAAATTATATCTAATAAAAGTAAGATTCTGCAAACCTTTAAAGAGTGATGTATCTCAGGAACTACAAATGCCTCTCTCAGGATTTTATTCCGAATGTACAATATATATCAAAATTGGAAATTAGAATAATCATCCGTGAGACATATCTTTTGTAAATAATTACTGATAAAAGATTTGCATTTAACGTGAAAAAAAATAATCCGGTAGAATTAACATGACAATAAATGAACCACGCGCGCTTTAGTTGAAGGAAATAATATTCCTAGAATCGAGTTCAATTCGAGTTAAAATCCAAATTAATCAAGTAATTAGTAATCAAATTAGTTTATCTAAGAATCAAAAACTCTGTTTCCCTTAACCAAACACGTTTGATTCGTTCATTGGGTCTGTTTTCTATTGCTGAACTAGGATACATTTCCGCACTTTTTTAAGTTCAGAACTTTAAAAAAGACAGATATACAGACAAAATCTTCATGCCAAGAAAGATGAGAGAGTACTAGTGCAGCCAATAGAAAATAGACCCATTGTCAGATTAATTCAACCAAACTTTTTCCCCGTGAAGAATGGAGAAACGGATATTACGCGGTCGTGCACCAGTAAAATGATACTAGGGCTGTATGCTGAGAAGTTTGACGGATCACTCGAACATGATA